TACAGTAAGTATATATGAAAGATATTTATTTAGTAAATGTATTGAATTCTGCTCAGAACAGAAAACTGAACTCGAATTTGTTCAAATACTTATCAGCTGAACATGACATCATTTTTTTTGTGTGGGTGTGAGTGTAGATAAGAGTTGGATAGAACGCACATCCACTTACACCCTCATCTAGATCGCCTATGCGCAGTTGTTATATATTGATAGAACAATTAAACCTATAATTGCATATTAGCTATAACTAGTTAAAGAGAAGTTTAAAGGGAACAAATGTGAACGGATGAATTCGGAAATTAGATTTTTTCCAAGGTTTTCGAGGGGATGGTTCTATTGGGATGAGTATGGTCTCAATCGGGGCATTCTCATAAACAGTACTATATCAGCCAACATGTGTCTAGGATATGTATCATTTGGAAAAGAAGCTAAAGATACTTCTATCAAATAATGACAGTTATTTCAATCAATAGTTGCTATGAAGTCATGTTTTGATTAGCTACACTGACAATGTTGACATAGAAAACATGACCCCTTACAATGTATCTTCAGACAAAAAAAAAACAATAGAAAAACGACGTCACATTTTTCCATAAATCTGTAGTTTCTTAACAAGCAATAGTAAAGAAAAAAAGCTCTTGGTTGGTCTTCTAAAATATAATTCACTTAACAGAATACAAATAGCAATCGATATTTATGAGTATTCATAATATCAGATATTCTGAACAACAATGAAAGAAAAAACGAAGCTCATTCGTTCTTTCATTTCATTCGTTCAATTATTTGTTTATTGTTGATTTAGACTATAAAAAAAATGTATATCATTAATCTCATTGGCAGTTGGTCATTGACGAGATCTGTCAAACAATTGAAATGAGCACATATATCTAAAAGACAGAAACATACATCGAAGTGTAGAAACAAATGGAACACTTATCGATTAAATTAGATGATTTACCGGACGAAATTCTTTTGATTATTTTCAAAAAATTAGACAACTTTGCAATACTTTATTCTTTAACAGGTGTCAACAAACGGTTACATAAAATTGCACATGATCCAGATTTTACAAGTCATTTAACTTTATTCAAACACTTAAAGTACGCTTCCGTCTCTGCATTACCAGATTCAACACTTTCTCGGTTTTGCTTACAAATTGTACCTGAAATTCATCATAAAATTAAATGGCTTAATGTGGAACCAGCATCTATGGAACATATCTTTCTAGCTAAAAATTATCCTAATTTATATGGCCTTGGTGTATATGGTATTGATGTATCAAGTGCTATATCTCTCTTTACTGGTGAGTCAGTCTACTTCAATTATTTTAATTCTAAATAAATGAGAAATAAATTTTAAAAAAATGAACAAAACTCGTTCTATTATATTAATAATATAGTTAAGTAGATCAGATCACTGAGTACTCTAGGTATAAATTTGTATGTAGCATTATTAGTTTTATATAAATTGAAAAAAATGCGTAGTATAATTTAAACAATATTAAAAATGATTTGTTTGTTTCTCAAGACTTTTATTTTTATTTAGACGATACTGCATTTACTCATGTACCCAAAAATCAAATATCATCGCTTGTTATCGATACTAGTAAAAATAAAAAAAGAATTTTCACAGAAGATATCAATACAATTGTGCTTACACATGTCTTTACTATGTTCAGTAATTTGAAATATTTACATTTCAATTCCACATCACCCTCTTATCAACTATTATCCTTTGCTATCTTACCTCCAATTGTTACTTCTTCAAACTTATTAGAATTACATGTTTCTCTAGAATATTTGTCTGACTGTCTTTATTTTCTTGATGGACGTTTCAACGCACTTCGTGTCTTCCATGTTAACGTTTTGAGTGGTGACAAAGATCCACCACAGATCATTAATAGGGTAGATTATTTTCATTAATATTTAATTTCAACGAATTCATTATATTGCTTTTCTAGGAAAATTTACCTAATTTAAGATATTTTTCACTGTACTGTACCTTCGAGACCGTTGTTTATGATGAATTAATTATACCACTTCTGTGTCGAATGCTGAATTTAGAACAACTCGATTTGGATATTGTAGTTGCATCAAAGACAACATTTATTGATGGGAATGATTTAAAAGAAAATATTATCAATCATATGTCACGATTAAATACGTTTACATTTAGTATTCGCTCATTGGTTGATCTGCGTAATCAAACTGAATTAAGATCAAATGAAGATATTCAACATACATTCAAAAATTTTAAATATAATCAAATTATTTCTTATGTTGATCATTTTCAAGAAAAACAATATAGTCAATGTCATATATATTCATATCCAAATAAACGGAAATATTGGAATAATATTACAAATAATTTTCCTGGTGGATTATATAAATATGTTCGTGAAGTATCATTATATGATGAACGTCCATTTGAACATGAATATTTTCTTCGCATTGGAGAAGCATTTCCATTTATGGAAGAGTTAACTATAAATAATAAGAAACCACAGATGAACAAATTACATAGAGAATCAAAGAGCGGCAATGAAGATTTCTCACTTATTAAATATCCGCATCTTACTCGAGTGAAGTTTTTGGCAGTTCATGATGATTATGTCGAACAATTTCTAGTTGATACGACAATGTGTTTGCCGAATAATGTTTTTCTTGCTGTGTGCGGTCAAGCATTGGAAAGGGTTACGGAAAATTTCACAAGAAATACAACCCGAATCAACTGTGCAAAACTGCGTCTTGTATATCTAGTTGGTAAATATGAAATTACTCAACAATTAAAAGACTATTTTCCTCATACCAATGTTGTACGCCGATTAGTGTAAATGCTTATGATGCTAGCGTCAATAGATGTCACATTATGACGCTAACCTATGTCCAGTGAATTACACATGTATACAGAGCGTCTCATAAATAACACCTCGATAAGTAATTTAAATATCTCCGTTCTGGTTCAATTCAAATGGGCTGATTTTTCGGTTATTGGTAGAACTTTACTCAGAATTTTTTTGATACGGATCATGCAAGTAAATACTACAATTAGTTATTATGGTTGGTCTCATGAAAGAAATTTGGCCTGTTCTCA